CCAGGGATTTCCTGGTCACCCTAAGCAAACCCAAATCCATCTGGCTTCTAGGTAGGAGCCGAACCTCCTTGGGCCCACTTGTGAACATACTCACGGGTCATGGCCTAAGGAAACACCTCACGAGAATAGGGGCTGAAACCAGCCCCTCCTGTACCCAGTGCGGAAGGGAGGATAAAACCTCCTTTCACTTCCTGGGACAATGTGAGGCCCTCGGCAGACTAAGGTATAAAATCTTTGGAGCGATGACACTCCAAAGGGAAGAGTTGGCCTCTCTTGCCTGGCAGGATATCCTGACCTTTATAAGAAGGTCTGGAAGATTCGAAAGGGCTGGTATGGGCGAAGAGGAAGATGAGGAGTAGTTTGGTTGGTTTAGGAGGTGCAGATAAAAAGGACCATGGAGTCTAATTGTCAGGCTTCGAGCCTACCCAACCGTACTACTACTACTACTACTTAGCTGTCATTTAAAAGAAAATTAAAAATCCTTTTGTTTGGTATATAACACGGTATATTTTTGACTAAAAAACGAAATATCGCTAAAAAAAATTTTAAGAAATATTTTAGTTGTGATATAATATCATTTTAAAAGAATTTAATAAAATAGAACCTAAATCTGGCTGAAGGACGTAAGTCAATGGCCCTTTGAAACTTCAATAAAGAACATTAATAATAATAGAACCTAAATATATATATTTTTAAATTACTTAAAAAAAAAAATTTAACACTACCTTAATTAAACGCAGTCAGGTTGGCCTATTTAAATTTAATTTTTAGGATTTTAGGAGTTTTAGGAGATTGGATGCAATTTTAGGAGAATTTTAGGAGTTTTCAAGATTTAAGCAAAATTTTAGGAATTTTATGAGTTTTAGGAGGTGTGGAAGCCCTGAAAACTTTACACAGGATCACCGTTCACTATATACTTACTTTTCTACTTAAACTGATTCAGGGTTATTTCTTATAAAACAGTCAGTAGCAATAAAGCGATATTTTAAGCCATATAAGTATAACCATATATATGTATATTAACAAACAAAGAATTAACAGTTAAAAATTAAAAGATAAAAAACAAGAAAAATTAAGTTGAGTTTAATTGGGAATAGCTGAGTAATAACAATAAAGATTTTTCTAGAAACGTGCCGTTACCATTTTTAGTAATTAAATTTACACTTACTCTAAGAGAAATGATAAAAGAAATTTTGCTAAACTAAACATTATAACACTTATTAAAAATCTCATAACAGTAATAAACAATAATAGCATATTTCCCAAACTAGGTTATAGTGAATAATAATAATTGTTTAAAGAATGTTTACAAAATATATAAATATTAAAACAGTGTTACAATAAATATGCTAAAAGCATACCGGTCAATTGACCGGTTAAAATATATTTTATTTTTGCAGCATTTTATTTAGGTATCAACAATTACCCGTGAATCTTAAAATTTTTGCGATCGTGCAATATCGACATCATTTACAATTTGGTGGTTCCCCGAGTCGAGGGGTTGCTAGGCCGGACTCGGCGCTTTGCCCTTAAAGCGGGACATTTTTTAATAGCGAAACATAACTTTTTAAAGCCGCACAAACGCTTCTAAAGATGGACATAACTTTTATAATAAAAAAAAATTTGGTAACGTATTTTAATTACCTATTTATTAAGCACAAATAAATCACAGTAATATTTATTTAATTTTATTTTGGTCAATTGACCAAAAACAATTTGACCGGTCAATTCCACAACCCTACAATCACAGTATAAATATAAAAAAAAACGTAACCCACTTGAGCTTTTTTCCTTTTAAATACTATATTATATGTTTGTGTACAAACAAACATAAAATACACAAAAAGTAAAATAAATATAATAAAAACAAAACAATTTGAATAAAAATAAGAAGCATTTTGAAAATGAAAAAGCAAGTCTTTGAGAGAAAACTGGTTTTAGCTACGTTTTCAGTAAAGTTTATTCATTGATATTTTAAATTCTATGTGTTTATGAATATCTTCTCTAGTTATTTCTAGGGTGTAGTTTCTACATTTTTTTTAAAGCTATGGATTGATCTAGCCTGTTTTGGAAGAAGATTATAAATTTTTGGTCCAAGAAATCGACTACTGCGTAGGTGGGAATATTTATAATTCTTCGGATATAATTTTACAAAATTGTAAAAGGCGGTCATTATCATCTTCATGCAATTGTTGAAAAAGTTGAATTTTATATGGGTGCCATTTATTATGTTTTAGAATTCTCTGTGCGGCGGCCAACGAAACTCCCGTTACATCAAAAAGTTTTCTGGTACCTAATGTAGGGTCCAAAGTAATTTCACCCAGAACAGCTACTTCTACTGCCTCATTTCTCACCGGATTTTTAATATTTTGTTTTTTATTTGCCACTGAACCAGTTTCCCGGAATTTTGCTACTAAAAAAATAATAAATAAATATACACCTGTAAGAAGTGTTAAATCTATTAAGTTTTAAACAGAGAATATATTTTTAGACTATGGACTATATATATAAAATAAAACACGGGAAAGTGCCAAAATATCTATGTGACAAGTTACAATATGTTAATTCCATACATGCATATCAAACTAGAAATACAAATGATTTTTATATAGAAACTTCTAGAACTGCTTAATGTATAATAATAATAATAATAATAATAATAATAATATTTATTTACCATATAAGATTTACATTATTAAAGGACTTACAAATAGAATAATAGGTAAAATAAATACAAAATAACCCCGTAAGTTCTGAACTTGTCTGGGGAAATAAGTACAAGAAAAAAATAGTATTTAAATAAGAATAATATCATACATACAATCCTAAAGCACAATAAAAAAAAATAATTTTAACACAAAAAACAAACAAATACGATTAAGTAGTAAAAACATAGTAAATAACAATTATGATAATAAAAAATTCTATACTCAATATCAGTAGAACTAGTAGTGGCTAAAATGTATTTCAGGTACGGTTATTAATTAATTCATTTACTGAGCCTTCTGGAGTGTCAATGAGGAATATTTTTAAATGTTTTTTAAAAGAATGAAAGTGTTCAGTAGGTGTTATATTACTCAAAATATAATTAAGAAATTTTGGACTTAAATATGCAGCAGATCGTTGACCAATTACTTTCTTCATTTTTGGAACCACATATTTATTCATACGGCGAGTCTCATAAGGATGTTCTAACACAGGTAAGTAATCTTTCTTTTTAAATTGATTTAAACATAAATTAAAACAGTATAACTTTCTCACACTTAAAATTTGTGTCTCAGAGAATAGCAAGTCAGACGGATAGGTTAAATCTTTATTAAGCATTATCTTAAGAATTCTTTTTTGCATTTTTTGCAGAGGATCCAAATGGACGTCAAATACTCCCCCCCAACCAATAATTCCATATGATAGGTGACTTTCTACAAGGGCATGGTATAGGATTTTTAGATCACTGAAGGCTAGTATTTGTTTAAGGTATTTTAATTTAACAATAATAATAATAATAATAACAATTCTATTTGAACTTAGCGTTAAACAAACGAACTGTAAAATATTAAAAAATAAAATTGCTTACTCCAATTGCCGCTAGTGATGTTTTTAAACAGCGCGCTGTTGACTAGCTTCATTCAAGTACCGAGACACTAGCGGCGGGCCGTGCTGGGGGTTGCCATAACTTATAAACAAAATTAAAGGTGGTAATTGCAGTAAGATTGGAAGATTCACAATTGTGGAAAGATTAATAGTTTGCAGGTAAATTTTAATATTTATGCAATATTGTTTTCGGTTTGATTAGTTTATTAAACTCATTTAAAGCCGCTAGTGGTGTTGACAACATTTAAAACCATTTCATGGTTTTAATTACTGTCTTATACGTATAAGATCATGGTTTTAACCCTTAACTACATACATCCTAATGTAGGACCCCCGGTATTTATTATATAAATATATGATATGTATATAGGTATATATAGTAAGTAATAGTTATGGATTTATTCAGCACACATTAACATTAAGTATACATGAAGCTAATTTAAGGTGGGTATTTTATAAAATTAGTGGCAAATTAAGCGTGCGTATATATTAGATAAAGTTAAGTTAAAGTAATTTTGACATCTGACATTTTTGGTTTGTTTGGATTTTGTTTTAACCGTTTTAGCATCTGTTAGGTAAAATGAATGAAAACTATAAACCATTCTGTGCTTTAAACTGCACGTCAAACAATAAACAAAAGAACACAATCATTGAATTAAAATTGAATTATTCATCAGCACGTTTCATTTTATTTTCGGGTATGTTGGCATTACTGGCGGTTTCTTTAAAAATTGCGCCGCAACCTGCGCTGGAGGAATAAAAATTAACATTATCATTAATAAGTTAAAAGTTAGCTATATCTTTAACAACTTAATGTTAATGTGTTGAATAAAAGCTTCCAATGGATTACGTTCATTTAACTTCCTGATGACAATGTTAATCTTAATGTTAATGTCAACTTACTGTAAATTTGTGCTATATAGGTACGGATTTTTCAGCAATATTTATTAAAGTATGTTAAAACTTCTCAAATAAAAATAAATGGACGTTCAAATTTAATTTTTTTTAAGGCCTAGGATTATAATCCTTGTATTTTCCCTTAAGGATAAATAAATACAACGTAATAATAAAAAAATCACATTTTCATACACTCAGAAACCATTTTTATTATAAAATAAAAAATATTTTCCTAAACACTTAACTAATTAATTTTTACAGATTGCGATTTTTACTATTAAAACAGCGAGTTCCCACAAAACTTGAGTTGATAATTATTTTTAATGCAAAAAATTAACATAGACGTATAGTAGTATTAATTCCCCAAAATCGCAAAATTGGAACCATATACTGGCTGAAAATACTGGATACCTGTAGTTAAGGGTTAAATAAACTCACATTTTTGATGTGAAAGTATTGATGATTAGTGTTTAACAACTGTTGTTTCTTACAGTACCTATATACATTAAAAAATGAGCGTACGAAGGTGTTACTTTAAGACTGATTGGTTGACTGATCCAAACTTTAACTTATGGGTAGAAGAGTGCAAATCAAACAGTTCTGTGATTTTTTGCAAGATATGCAAGAAAAATGTGGACATATCAAATATGGGTGTTTCAGCCTTAAAGAGTCATATGAAAAGCGTTAAACATATTAAGTTAACAACAGCTATTAATTCAACTACTAATGTTGCTCAGTATTTTCAAAATCACCAGTTAAGCAACAGCAGTTTAGGTATTGAAAAACCATCCAGCAGTGAAAACAAATCAAGAGTAGTTCCAGAAAAAACTCTATCTCTTCAAGAAAAAGGTTTAATTTCGGAAGCTGTACTAAAATCTGAAATAATTTGGACAATTAACATGGTTCTCAAACATTATTCGTTTAATTCCAGCAAAAACAATGGCAAACTGTTTTCAGCCATGTTTCCAGACAGCGAAATAGCCAAAAGCTTTGCGTGTGGTGCTACAAAAATGGCATACACATTATGCTTCGGAATTTCACCATTTATTAAGGAAAAATTATTATCAAAAATAAGAAAATCCAAACATTTCACCGCTTACTTTGATGGAAGCGTGGATAAATATTTACAAAAAGATCAAATTGATGTTATTATTCGCTTTTGGGATGAAAGCCAGATAACCTCAAGATATATGAGTTCAGCATTTTTGGGCCATGCAAAGGCGTCAGATATTATAAAGGCCATAAAAAACGAAATTGCGGAGTTAAATTCCCAAAAACTTCTTCAGATAGGTATGGATGGACCTAATGTTAACCTTAAGGTACTAAAAGAGTTTGTGGACCAAAGAAGAAATGAAAATGAAGATTATCCCCAACTTATTGATATTGGGAGCTGCAGTATTCACACTTTACATAGATCTTTTCAAGTTGCAGTGCAGGAAACGGGGTGGGACTTGGCCTCTATTTTAAGAGGATTGTGGCAAATTTTTAAAGATTCTCCTGCAAGGAGGAGCGATTTTGAAGAAATAAGTAAAAATAAAATTTTCCCACTAAAATTCTGTGCGACGAGATGGACAGAAGATGTCTCCGTAGCTGAAAGAGCCATACAAATATGGCCAGATGTATGTTTGTTCGTCAGTTCTTACAAGGATAAACCACGCTCAGCAACGAGCTGCCAATCCTTTCAAACTATTAAAAAAGCTACTAATGATCCACTGTTGGTAGCAAAACTAAGTTTTTTCTCTTTTGTCGGCGGCCACTTAAAAACGTACCTTACTCTTTACCAAACAGATGCACCAATGATACCTTTTCAAGCAAATGACATTATGGAACTATTGTTTTCAATCGCATCTCTTTTTATAAAAAGAGATATTTTGGATAAAATGGAAAACCATAAAGACCTGTGCTCAGTTGATGTCAAGGATTCAAAAAATGTAGTTTTGGCCAAAGATGTTGAAATAGGCTTTTCCACAAAAAAATATATAAAAGACTCTTTAAAAGAGAATAAAATGTCTGACAAAGATGTGTTAATGTTTAAATTAGATTGCCTTGGTTTTCTTAAAACACTTTTTAATAAAATTCAGGAAAAAAATCCGCTTAAATATACTATTGTGCGCTTATCGAAATGCCTAAATCCAAAGACTTTGATGGCAACTCAAACGGAGACTATACCAATTTTAGTAAACTATTGCAACATCTACAGGAAAAAAATATTATTACCCCTAGTACATGTGACAAAGCGTTGTTACAGTTTAAATTATTTTTAAAAGAAATGTCCCCTAATGTTTTTGAATTCAATGCTTATGACAGAATGCAACAAAGGCTTGATATATTTTATTCAAACTTTTTACAAAATAAAAATGAATATGTGGATTTATGGGATATTATAAAAATAATTCTTACTTTATCGCATGGACAAGCATCTGTAGAAAGAGGGTTTTCAGTAAATAAAGAGATAACCGTCGAAAATTTATCCGAGAAAGCTTTACAAGCATCCAGATTAGTTTATGATGAATATAAAAACAAAGATATTTCAAAGCTTAATTTTGAAAAAGAACTTTTATCGCATGTACGATCTTCAAGAATGAGGTATCAAAATTACTTGGATGACGAAAAAACAAAAAAAACAGAGGATGAGAAAACAAAGAAGCGTACAAAGGTCTTAGAAGAAGTTAATGAGCTAAAGAAGAAAAAAATTAAACTGGAAAAAACTGTAGAAACTTTAAATAAAGATGCCGACGAATTGGCAAGAAATGCGGAGAAGAAAAGCGACTTTACCCTTTTAGCAAAATCAAATGCATTCAGAAATAAATCAAAAGAAACTCTTTTAAAAATTAACAGCATTGCAAACAATATAACAGAATTATCAAAAAAAATTACTTAAACTACAAAGTTTTTATTTTGTTTTAGATAAAATTTCTTACAAACTAATTGGTTTACTTTAGCAAAAGTCATATTAATCAATTATTAGGTACTATAAATTAATATGTTTTTAATTTGTTATTTTTGACAAAAATGCTATATGCTTAATTTTCCTAAGAACTCCAATTGAAGTGGATGAAATTTTCCCTGAAACAAAATAAACGCTATATATATACAAATATATATAATCCTAGGTATATAATCAAATTATGTGCCAAAAAGGTAAAGTCGCTTTCTTTCATTTCGAATCTCAATCTTTGACTGATATTTAATTTTTTTTATTTTTACAGTAGCTTCTTGTTAGTTGGGCTGTGTTATATAGTCTTTTTAAGGCGTGAATTGTAAAATGTACGTATACATATAAGAAGAATTTTAATAATTAAAATTTTATAGTTTGTGTCTGTGGGTGGTAGTACAATTTATGTAATTGTAAATCTTACTAGTACAGGGTAGGACACCTATAGGTGAGGTGTAGGGAGCCTGCATGTTATATTACAAGAACTATGTAGTTGTTTGTTTTTAATAAAATTATATTTTTAAAATAAAAAAATGTCCTTGATTTTTTTTTTTAAATGTCATGAAATTGTCCTGGAAAAACCTGGAAAAAATTAATGGAAAGTTCGTGGGAACCCTGCCATTAGTTAATAATTCTGCCCTTACTTCAACCGGAGGAAATCTTAAGCCTGTTCCCCTTCTAAAATAGATATATTTGTGGGACGAGTTTTGGATTTTTATCAAGAAAAAAAAGGACGATTTCTAGTTGGGATAAGCTAGTGAAATGATTTAAGAGAGAATTTAGGAGAGCAGACTTTGACTATGATTTACTTAGATAAATAAAGTAGCGGTCGCAGGCCAAGCACGAGTTAATTGAAGTCTATATTGCCATCATGAATAGATATTTCAGTAGATCAACCAAGCCATTGACCAAGCCTAGCTTAAGAATATTCGCCCGGTGTTGCAGCAAGGAATCGGGTTACAGGAAATTTCGGACCTAGCGGAACTACGTAGTGTTCGCAGAAAACTGGAGGCGAAGCTGCAAAGCTGTGCCAGTTTTAAAGAACCACCTCCACGACGATCACATACTTTGGAGCCGTATTTGGCTTATTTATCCAAAGTTCTAGATGAGAACTTCCATGTAGACCCTGTCGAAAGTAATTCAGTCGTCTGCTATCGATGTCAAGGGACAGGCCACTTCGCTAGAGATTATAGGATGCCAGGAAAGAGGCATTGTTTTAAATGCAAAAAAGAAGTATAACCTTCTAAATTACCTTTAGTAGATTAGATGCGTACGGCCAGCTGGCATCAGTCGGGCACTGGGGTAGATAAGACAAAATTCTGATACTGTTTAATGGGCGCCAGAGACTTTAGCACATAAAAATGTGGTTATGTATATCCTAAGTCTCAAAGATATACATTGCTTATAAATGTGACAAAATTAGAGCTTTGATATGGTATGATGGTAACAACAGTAGCAATAAAAAACGCTATATGAGCTACAGTTCTTTATTAACATAAATCAATATTAAATGAAAAAATAAAATACTACACCTAAATTTATCACTATATAAGTTCGTTAAAGATATCTTGTAAATATTTATCACTGTATAAGTTTGTTAAAAGTCATATCGTAGTCATATCTTTGATTTACAAATTTAATATGTTGAAAAAATATAGGCGCAATAATAAAAAAATCAAAATATCCACCCCCCTAATGAGAACTGTAGTTCAATAATAAAGGGTTATCCAAGTTCAGCTTGAGAAAGTAAATTAACAAAAAACACAGTAAAGATTTAGATTGCGATAAAATTTTTATTTCATTATAAAGTCTGGTTAATGGCATTAATTGTGAAACAAAATATCATTTAAATGTCCTCCACGGGATCTCCTGCAGGACTCAATTCTTTTGAGGTAATTTTCTATTACTTTTTGGCACATTTCAGGCAATATCTCGGCCATTACTTGACGGATATTATCTTTCAACACGTCAATTGTTAGAGGGTTGTTGGCATAAACACGATCTTTTGCATAGCCCCACAAAAAAAAGTCCAATGGCGTTAGATCACAAGATCTTGGTGGCCAATTCACATCACCCAATCTCGAAATTACTCGTCCTGGAAACTTATCTTGCAACAAAGCCCGATTATTTCGTGTTGTGTGACATGTGGCCCCGTCTTGTTGGAACCACGTATTGGCCAAAAATCGGTTAACATACGGCCATATCGTTCGGAATTGACGGTAACGGTTCTTCCTTGATCATCTTCGAAAAAATATGGTCCAATGACACCACCAGACCATAATGCACACCAGACAGTCACTTTTTGTGGATGTAACGGCACTTCAACAATTGCCTGTGGATTTTCGGAGCCCCAGATACGGCAGTTTTGTTTATTTACGTATCCACCGAGCAAGAAATGGGCCTCATCGCTGAATAAAATTTTCTTTGAAAAGTCTTCATTTAGTGCTTGTTGTTCCAGTACCCAATTGGCGTATGTTCGACGCTGTCCATGGTCTGTAGGCTTTAGTTCTTGTGTGAGCTGGACTTTGTACGGATGAAAATGCAAATCCAAATGCAAAATACGCCATACCGACCCGTAGGATAAACCCAATTGCTGAGCGCGCCGTGTAATTGATAATCTTGGGTTTTCAGTCACACTTGCACTAACCGCAGCGATGTTTTCAAGAGAACGTGTATTCCGATGGTGCACTGGTCTTATAATATCTGTCACCGAACCATTCCGTTCAAATTTATTTACAATGTTTAAAATCGTTTGTTGGGAAGGGCGATTATGCCGACCATAATCTGGTCGTAAAGCACGATATGTGGCCACGGCAGAATTACCATTTTGGTAGAACAATTTAACAATTTTTAAGCGCTGAGCGATGGTTAAATGATCCATATTATAAAATGGCAACTATTCAACTACGTAAATATCTGTTTTACGCACATGCGCAGTTGGTAGTTTTCGTATGTACAGCGTGTACTTTCTCAAGCACGAAATGGATGACCATGTATAATAAACTTAAAAATTAATATTTAAGATCCTTAATCTTGGATTTGGCAATCTCGTACAGTGTCCTCGACAATCAGGACTGGAACAAACCCAGACCGTTGAGCAGGACTGGAACAAACCCAGACCTTTGAGCAGGACTGGAACAAACCCAGACACGGCTATGGAGCAGAATATTCAATGGATCACAAAGTAAAAAAACAATATCGAACGCCTTCAAGGCCCCAAACTTACAACTCTAAAATATTACAGTACACATAAGTATTGAAAAAAAAAACAGAAAAACAACTAAAAGATTAATTTAATACACACCCTATTCAGAGTTTTGCTGGACACACGATAGTAATACTGGACAACAACACCAAACCAAAATTATGGTTTCTGGCTACCAATACGGCATTTGTATCGCCTGGCTTGATTATAATATTTTGGGTGCTAAAATAATACGCACTTCGTCTCAAAAAACGAGCCTGACTACGAATTAAAATAATTGAAAATGAACTTACACATGGCGAAACTTGGATGTCTTGTTTTCCAACTAAACTTCTTAAATCCAACCAAAATAGATATCCTACTAGATCACCCAATCCCTTAACTCGGTTTTCGTATCAAAATATCTGAATAAACTTATTGGATGACTTCTATAATTATGGATTTCCAATCTACCTTGTCGCCATGTCACCCTCACTCTTACAATGACCTTTTTACGAACTGACGCTACACCCTCACGCCACAGTAAAGCCTAATCCCAACTAAATCAATACTAATCAACACAGAATCCATTAATTTACTCATGTTAAATCTTCTCATCGACAGATGTCGCTAAGAGTATGTTACATTAAATATTAAGAATTAAATAAATATTCAAATCAAATGAATTAAATTAAATTAAATGAATATTAAAATCAAACAAAAAATAGGAAGCTGACCAAACGCTACAGAAGGTTAGACGGTAAGAACCTCCCCCGACTGCTTGGCTCCTCAGTCGGGAAACGAAAGACAAAGTCAAAGTGTTCGAGGTGATGTCGTTGATAGTATGAACTTGGCCAACCATATTTTTCCAATTTTAGACTTCTTATTGGATCACGCCAAGGACGACGAGCATCCTTTCTTAAAAATTGACATTTTAGGCACGACCTTATTGGGACTTATGGATTCTGAAGCAACTTGCATAATTTTGGGGGGTGAAGCCTGAAAACGAATTGGCCATAAGGATATATTATTGGATATTAGTTGGACCAGTGCAGTCACGGTGGGGAATGGAAACCAGTGTCAAAGTATTGGAGTGTTAGTTAGTTATTTCAGAGTTACCCTGTACCCTGATTCTGGGTCGGGACTTATGAGTCAAAATGGGCATTATACCGAATCTCCGGTCAAATAAATGGAACTTTTTGGACAAACCGGACATCTATAGTGTAAACTCACAACTAAAAGATCGAACCGTACTTACTCTTGTCAAAACCTTATAAGCCAAAATATTGATTTAATGGTCCAATAGCTAGGACGTACTACGATAGTCGAACATGTTATTAGGACACAACCCGAACCAATTAAACAGCGCACAGTGTGGTATTTATCCCCAAAACCTGGCCAAAATCTGTTTTTTATTGTTATTTTTTAAAACGCTAAATAGTTACCGCAACCAACAGCGAAACGCATAAAACGCAAGCGCGAAACAGCTTTACTGTTTGTCTTAAGTGATTTGTGATTTTTCGAAGTGCTTAGACTTTTTGTTTTTTAAGCTCTTGTGGGTTTATGGAAAAACAATTTTGAGTTTGTTTATATGATGGATTGTACTTAGCCAGGTATGTCCTTTATGTAATTCTATTTTTTTCTTATATATATGCACCCTTTTATTATTTACGGTCAACAACATAGGTGCAATGGACTGTTAAATATATAACATTTTTTTTATATTCACAAGGTGTTTTGATGTATTTCTAAACATTTCTAA